GGGGGGGGGGGGGGGGGGGGGGGCTTGCAGCATCGTTATCACTGCTCCTGGTGTTGTGCCGAGCCTGCACCCACTGCAGAGATGTGGTGGCAGCAGCATCATCCCTGTGTCCCCCCTCACAGGGGTCTGCTCCCCTGTCCCCCCTCTCCCTGCTGCCCCCAACATCACCCCGTGGTGTTTGGCTGAGCTGGTGCCCACCCAGCCCAACCACACGGGTGTGTTATGGCTTTGCCAGGGGCAGCGGGGGATCTCTGGGCAGCAGGGATTTTGTCTTTGCTTTCTGGCTTTATTAAGGTGCTGCAAACTGATTGCAATCCCCGGGTAACGCCAGCATCCTTCCCGTAGCCTCTCTTGCAGCATCATGTTGGGTGGGGAGGTGAATCATTATTTTTGCAGCAGAATCTTTCTTCTGCTTTGATTTCCCAGTGCTGGTCTCAAGGGACCCTCGATAGGTTCATTAGGGGGGAATAACCACCCTGCACAGCATCCCTCTGTGACCACCGACAAGAGCGGGACTGTGTTTCTGACCCTCACTGCTCCTCATCCTGTCTGTCCGGAGCTGCTTGGAGGGATGGAGAGAAAGGCAAAATCCTAGATTTTAAATCATTGCTTTTGTTTTAATGCAAATATTCTCCAGGCTGGAATTGGCTTTGGCTGCTGATTTGGTCCCCCAAGCCCACGCTCATCATCCAAGTTCTTTATCTCCAGTGGAAAGAAATAAGCTGCTCAAAAGGCTTGTGCATCCCTTCAGGATATGGTTGAAAGCAGAGATTAATTGCTTTCTGGACAAATCCATTTCTTGATTTTTAAATAGGAAAGGTGTGCAAGCTTAAGCTGTTTGTCTGGACTTCTAATGCCAAACAGCTGAACTTGGCTGAAATGACCCTCAACCTTCACACATTAAATTTGCTAACAGCAACGATCAGCTGGGATCATGCAGTATTTTTACAATTTACAATTTACAGCTTAGATTTCTCCTTCTTGCTTCCAGGCACCATAATTACCATCAAATGGAAAATAAAACCTCAAACCCCCGCTACTCCAAGCGGCTGCCGTATAAAGCTTGGGAAGCCATTTCATGAGGAAAATCACTGATCTGGCAAAAAAAAATTCCACATGTGAAGATGTGCGTGAGTATGTTCTCTTTATAAAACTCTTTGAGATCATTCCCTTCCCCTGGAAACTCCCTGCTCCCAGCTGGAGTCATCTCCTCAAAGGCCGTGGGTTCTCCTCAAAGAACCAGGGCCATGCAAGGTGCCAGGGGAATTTCAGGCTTGGGTTAGGTTCTCAGATGTCTAACCTCTCCTACAGCTTTTCCATATCATCATCCCTCTGCGTGGTTTTGGGGGTGTCGCAGCAGCCTCCCCTGGGAAGATGGGGCTGCCGAGACCTCACACCCATCCAAGAACCTCTGAAGTGATCAAGGTCCTCGCAGAATGTGGTTAGGTAAGATGTTTCTTTATTAAACTACACTAAAAATCTGGGTTTGCCATAAAAAAAAAACCCTTCTATCTATTGAAATTAATTTCTTCTAGAAATCTGGTGTTACTCTTGGAAAATCACACTTATTTGAATCACTGTTAATGGAATTAGCCAGTAATTAACAGTATAAATTATTTGGCTTTTATCATCTTTTTTACATTATTGATGATATGAAGATTAAAATATAAATTTAAAAATACCAGATACCGCTTAGAAGTAGCTATCATTAACCAAATATAAATTACACCAATACCTCTTTTTTTTCTTTATCTCGACCACAGCCGTTCAGTTCATCAAGTGTTTGCTCAAAAAATGGTAATTAAAAAAAAAGAAGAGGCACCTTTGAACGCTTGTTTGTCTCTTCGCAAAACTGCCGTAGGTTTCTTGCCAGCACTTCTGAGGATGGCTCTGGTTGAACCATCCCTGTCTCCTGTACTTATACTGCCCCGAGAGAGCGGGTGAATCAGCATTTCTGAGAGCGTGAAAACCGTGACCGGATGAGATTAACAGCAAAAGAAAACAGCAGCAGCAGCAGTGCCTGAGCTGCCAAGGAAAACATGAGTTACTAGTTCTTCAAGGCTTGGTTGAGTGTCTGAGATCTAACCGCTGTACAGTTATTTTTTTGTTTGGTTTTCTCTTCGTTAGTTTGTTGTTTTGTTGGGTTTTTTTTTTGGATGCTTCCAGTTTTGGGGGAAGCCTCGTATCCAAACAGCTGAGGGGAGTTGCACAAGTGTAACAGGCAGTTCTCCTTTGGGCATTTTTGGAGCTTGTTGATGCTGGGATAAACAAACCAATTAATCTTTGGGAGCCCTAAATAGATACCAAAGTCAATTCCCATCTTGAGTTTTCTCAGGAAAAATACTCTTAATGCCAAACGGGGGCTCTGGGGCGGCAGCAGCCAAAATCCAGCATCCACCCGGTGGGGCACGACCGCTGCCAAGGCTGCTTCATATATAATGTTTGCTTTGGAATATTGCAAGGAATATTTATTTGGGGGTGGCAGGGGAGGGAATCACCTTAGGCTTTCCAAAGTAATGAATCTGTACAGGAAAGTTAAAGGAGTAAAATCCCCTCCAAGTCCTGGTTTCCAAACTGGTACCCCTGTGGGAGCTGGGCAGCCCTGTTGGCATCACTGCCTGGACCGGGGTCAGAGCTGGTGGCACCTGTGTGACAGCTCAGAGATGCCACATCGCTGCTCTGCTTGTGCCTGCGGTGACACAGCTGAGCCCTGGGCTGTGGGCAGCAAAATCCCAAACAGGAGGTCCCTTCCCTTCCCTTTCTGATTACGAGATCTCCAAAGGGACATTTAGGGTGCCAATTTCAAGTGTTCTCAGTAACCAGTAGAACTGTAAATTCACTTTTTTTTAAAACTTTTTTTTCTTTTCTTTTTATGAAGCAGTTTTTAGCCTGGTTGGAAGTTCTCCGCCTCTGCTCCTCTCTGCCCAACCCTCCTCCTGGAGCAGCCTCAGCACCCAAAGCCACGGCCACCAGCCTGCGCACGCTGTCCTGCCACCCTCCTGCCTGCAGAAACAAGGCTTTTTTGGTAAACTAGCAAATACTGGGATTGGAAAATGCTGCCCCATTGCTCCCATGCTGCGAGACAGTACCTAAGCCCATGTCAGAGTGTGCCAGGGAGGGAGCTGCGTTAGTGCCGGCCTTTGCCGTGGCGTTGGCTCTTGCCGGGGGTGTGGGATGGGGTTAAATGACCCTCAGCATCTCCATGCCTCAGTGCAGCGAGCTGCTTCTCTCCTGCCTGTTTGTCATTAAAAGTTCAGGAAAGGAAAACAGTTTGACCCACTTTCTGCCAGATTCCAGATGATTCGTGTCCTCTAATTACATCCCCCAGCCCGTTAACCACCCGTGCATTGCAGCGAGCAGCCGCCACGGTACGCGGGGAAGATATTCCCGTGAAACATTAATGAGCTGTTTTCGTATTAACTAGAGGGAGCTGGGTTAGAGACGTCGCACCCACAGCTGTTGCCTTGACTGCAGCTCACATGGTAACTGGTTTTTTTGCAAACCAGGACCCGGTTGCTGTGCAGACTGAAAACCCCAGTTTAGCACAAGGCTCGCTTGTGGGAGCTGAACTCTCCATCCAGCTGGGAGCACTGGTGGAGTCCTCCAGAGAGGCTCGGAGTGATTTAGGCACTCTGTTTCCTTGGGATTTCAATTAAGCTGTGAAAAGTAGCTCCTTGGCTGGGAGAGTTTAGGCCTTGCTGGTGTCATGGATCTGCTGGCCTGGCTCTCATCGATGGCTGCCCGTGGCCAGCAGAGCTCGGTGCCCATGGGGGGGGGGCTTTGTTTTTAAAGTACTTTGGAGTCCCAGAAAGTGCTTGGTGGCTTCTCGCTGGGGACTTCCCCTGGGAATCCAGCCCAGGAAATGTATTTGAAATAATAGAAATATTTTTATATTTATACTGTTACTGTTCTGCCCAAGGTTACAATGCACCTTTGTATGCCTGTGTTTTTCCATACATCACTTTAGGTTATAGAACTGCCCATCCGGGATCCAACCAAACACCTGACCCCCCCGAAAAGGGCCTGAAGGCTGATGCAGATTCGTCCCCTGTGGATGCCCCACGGAGGGGCTGGGAAGCCAAGCTCTGGCCATTGTGGCAGGGCTCGGTGAGGACACTGTGCTGCCATCACCTGAGAGTCTTCTCCTGCCTGGGGTCCCATGAAAACCCCCGTCCCACCAGCAGCCGGGGGGGCCGAGTTGCTCTCAGAGCAACTGGCTGGGGGTGCCAGCAATGGCCAGAAAATCTGGGGAATCTGTGCCAAGGGGAGCAGTGAGCCGTGCAAAGGCTGTGAAATATTACAAGCAACGAGCTGTTTGCTCCAGTCAGGCCTTGCAGAAGAATTGCACCTCACTTAGTAGCACCTTTCCAATTCCCCTCAGGAAAGGGGCCCAAACACACCGAGTTACTGATCCATCACTCCTCCTGCTGAAAATAAACCCTGAGGGACCAGGCCCAGAGTCCAACCACGCTGTGCAGAGGAGTGGGTGTCTGCTCAGCTCCTGGGAAACCCACGTTTG